GTCTAAAGAGACAGAAAGAAAACTCAGCAAGAAGCTAGGCCACCGACCGCCCCCCCTCCTCCCCAAACCCCTCCGGGGACAAAAGCTCTAGCCTGGCATCCTCTCCACCCTCCAGGACCCACACAAAAACTTAAACAATTGGAAACATGGCCAGATCCCAGGTCTGTGCTTGTGCCAGCGCCAGCCACGGGGGTCCTACCCGCTGGGCACGATGCCCACGGGAAGGCCAGCTGGACTGTAGCACTAGGGGGCAGGGTCTCTTGGGGGGGGCGCAGGATTCCCATAGGAGGGACCGACAGAATGGGATGGAGCTCTGTGTGGTGTTGGTATCCTTGGCTCCGCGGTAGCTGGACCCTCCGGGGCCCCCGGCCAGCACCTGCAGTCACAGGGCCCGGTGGAAGTGAGAAGGGCCCTGCCCCAGCTGTTCTCAATATCGCCTCTTTTTTGTCCTGCTTCAGTCCTGGTTCCTCTGATAAGATCGACAAAAGAAATGACAAAATGAAAAGAAGAGGTTCCTCAAACAGGGGGAGAAGAAATTTTGAGACGTGGAAAAAAAAATCCCCCAGCCCAGCCCCACCGAAAAGCAAAAATTAAACGTCGTCAGCCACTCAGCCCTTCTCTCCTCCAGCCCAGGGCCCCCCGCAGGCCCCCCGAAGCAGCCCAGTTTTCTGAGAGCCCTCGGAAGAGGTCTCGGCGGCGGAGCTGTGCACCAGCAGCCAAGCAGAAAGCAACATGCGAAACGGACTCTGCCAAGCAGAGGGCAGAAAGAAAGAAAGGATGCAGCCGAACTTCCTCCCCATCCCACCCTGGCCTTCCGGGGAAGGAACTTCATCCCCAAACAAGTCAACCAGCACCGTGCTGAAGGGGCCTGTCCCCCACCCTTGTCCTTCCTGGGGGGACCCCACCCTCAGCTGGGGTCAGAGCTCCACTAGGGAGCTCAGAGGACTCGCTTGGAAAGATGAGGGGTGCAGGTCCAGAGGGCGCTCCCCTCCAGATCCCACCCAGCCCTCCCTCACTGCCTGTTCCGGAGGGGGTGAGGCAGGGCCGCCTCGGAGTCCCCCTGCCCCACCCTTCGGCTAGCAGCCCCGCCCCCCACAGGGGGCATCTCCTGGAGCGAGTTTCATGCTCCCAGAACGGAGGGTGTCCCACCACCCTCCCCTGGGCCACAGGGGGATTCCCAGGACCCCAGACCCCTCTGTACAGTAAAAAGTCAGATTGCTCTCCAAGGTCCAGTCCCCGCGGGGGACAGGCCCCCTCTTCCCTCCCTTCACAGGCAGGCCCGGGAGGTCGCCCTTCCGCCATGGCCCCAGTGAGGGGAGACGGGCCCCAAGTCGCCCCCACACCCCAGCCCGCATGCAGGTGCCCTTGTGCCACCCCATCGGTCCCTGCCCCTGCCCCTCACGCAGACAGCCCTGCTGTGGCCGGGCGGAGAGTGGAGCAGAAAGGGGACCCGGAGCCAAGCGAGAAGGAAGGGCAGCCGCTGCTGCCCTCGCCTCAGCCGCCACCTGCGCTAGGTAGGCGTCCTGCTGGCCCACTTTCCGTTCCTCTGGAGGGTGTTGGGTGTCGGTCGTCCTTTTTCAAAAGCGTTTTGGAGTTTTCTCTCCCCCCCCACCCCCACTCCCCCCACCCCCACCCCACCCTTTGTGGCCACTTCTCTCTGGATTTCAGCTGTAATGTCTTTACTCTTTATTTCGGGGTGGGGCATTCATTGTTCGGGTCTTCTGCTGTTGCAATTGGGAACTCCTCCTCCAGTTAAGCAACTTGGGAACAATTTGGTAACACACCACAGGAAGTAGCTCCCCCCCCAACTCCCCTCCTCCCCCAAGGGAAGGTTGGGGACCTGTGCAGAGGGTCTTCAGAAGGCCGCCCTGGGAGGGAGGGGAGCAGGGGCACGCCCAGCCCGATCCAGGGTGTGACTTGGCCCCTCTGGCTTGTCTTTCTGTGCCTTACTCCCTCCTCCCCGCATCTCCCCTCCTTGGACCCCTTCTAAGTCCTTGTGCCTCTCTCTCTCTCTCTTTCTTAATTGTATGAAAACACAAAGCACAGGTCAGGATCCTCTGGAAGTCAATCAGCCCAACATTGCACGCAGGGGGTGGGTTATGGGTTTTATTTATTGTGAATCTAGTGTGTGAGGCTGCGGCAGAGCAGGCGAGGGCAGGAAGGCGGCGAGGGCGCTGGCTGGGAAGGGGCGGAGGGGGCCAGCGGGCGGCGCCCCCTCCCCAGCTGGCAGCCACGAGGTAGCGACCCCTAGGGGGGTAGCTTCTGTTGGAAGTTGA